TATAAATATTCAAAGTGTTTATGTCCAAAGTTGATTGGACCTAGGGCATAACACTTACACCAACTAGCTCGGCAAAATGCTTCACGGATTTATGAGGTTAAGCAGGCCATCATCACCCTAATGCAAAATCAGGACCCTGTAAGTGCATACTTTTCAAAATACAAAACTCTGTTGGATGAATTAATGAACTATGAGTCGATTCCAAATTGCTCATGTGGGGGGCTAAGACCTGTTGTCGAAAATCAGCAAAAAGATTGGGTAATGAAATTTTTGATGGGGCTGAATGATTCCTACAAGGCAATCAAGGCTCAAATTCTCTTGGTTAAACCTTTTCCCACACTCAATAAAGTATACTCCTTAATCCAGCAAGAAGAAAAGAGGAGGCAAATCTCAGCAGACCTTCCTACATCTGATTCAATGGCACTGGCCACAAGAGGAATGCTGAATGATGGGGTAAAACACAATGGAATTACACAAAGGAAATACTACTGTACCTACTGCAAAATACCAGGACACTCAACAGAAAGATGCTTCAAAGCCAATCCTGACAAACCGGCTTGTAGCCATTGCCATATGCCAGGGCACTCTATGGATAAATGCTTCAAGATCCATCGGTACCCTCTTGGACACAGGCTACACAAAAAGGGAACCTTCTCAACTAATCAGGCGTGCTTGCAGGGAAAGGAAGGAGCTGGAAATAGTAATCAAGTGACATTTACTCAAGAGCAGCAAGCTCAACTTCTTGCTTTACTCAAGTCTCAAAATATTCAATGCCTCACTGTTTCTACCTCAACAGACATTCCTAAACACTCTAGTATATCTCATCATTTATGTGTATATAACTGCAGAACTAAAAGAAATTTTGATGCATCATGGATAATAGATACATGAGCAACAGACAGACCACATGGTCTGTTGCATTTCTCTCTTCAATTCTGTCCAAGCCAAAGTAAACTATTCAGTTTTTCTTCCAAATGGTGATTTAGTTAAGGTCGCACATATAGGGACTGTACAACTCACAGACAACCTAATTTTACAAGATGTGCTTTGCGTTCCATCTTTCTCTTTTAACCTGATTTCTGCTAGAAAATTAACTCAAATGTCTAAGTGTTGCCTCATATTTTTTCCTGAAAAATGTTTTGTGCAGGACCTTTTGACTTGGAAAATGACTGGAATGGGTGAAGTGAGGCAAGGTTTATACTACCTGTTACAAGGCCAAGTTCCCCGTTTAGCTTTGGCAGAAGTTATTTCTTTCAATTTAAATAAAAGAGCCCTGTTAGTTGCTAATACCAGGACTGAGAAATTTGATCTCTGGCACTATCGGCTGGGACATCCATTTCGTTCTAGATTAGACTTGTTAGGTATTAATGATGTTCCTAGAAATACATATGAACCATGTCTTGTTTGCCCAATGGCCAAAATGCACAAATTACCTTTTCCTACTAGTCATCACAAATCCAAAAATAGCTTTGATCTCATACATTGTGATTTATGGGGACCGTGTAGTGAAACTAGCTATGATGGGTCTAGGTATTTTCTATCCATTGTTGATGATTATACTAGGTGCACATGGGTTTATATGTTAAAATACAAATCAGATGCAACTGCTGCTTTACAAGGATTTTGTTCCATGATAAAAACTCAATTTCAATCACAAATAAAAGTTATTAGAACCGACAATGGAGGAGAGTTTGAAATGAGAGAATATTATCACAAAAAAGGAATCATCCATCAGAAAATCTGTGTCGAAACCCCATAACAAAATGCTACAGTTGAAACAAAACACCAACATATCCTTAATGTGGCCAGGAATTTGAGATTCCAGAGTAGCATGTCAATAAAGTACTGGAATGATTGTGTTCTTACCAGCGTTTACCTTATAAACAGGACACCTTTACCTTTATTAAACAATAAAACTCCTTTTGAAAGGCTTTTCAAACATAAGCCTGATTATACAAGACTTAAGGTATTTGGATGCCTTGCCTTTGCATCCACCTTAGCCAGTCATAGAGGAAAATTTGAATAAAGAGCTAAAAGATGTGTCTTCCTAGGTTATCCTTTTGGAATAAAAGGATATAAGCTTCTTGACCTTGAAACAAAAAAGGTATTCATTTCGAGAAATGTGATATTTCATGAAGACATTTTTCCTTGTAAAGGCAGCAATGCATCTGAGGAGGCCAAATTGTCACAACCCAATTTTGTCAATAATGATCTTCATCCTTACATTCCTTCAGTTATTTTTGGTGAAATTGAAGAAATAGAATCAGAAGCAAACTCTGCAAACTTCAATCAAAATTTTGAGACTGATGATCATCCTATAGCATCACCTCTACCTAATTCCCAAGAGCAAGAATCAGAATCAGACCACAACACCACAAATGATCACTCTGTACCTCATAGATCCTCAAGAGCAAAAAGGACTCCCACATACCTGGAGGTCTATATTTGCCAGCAGACCTCACTTCACCTACCATAGAAGTTGGAAGAGCAAAGGGTACTCATCTCTACAGGTAAACCATTTCCTCTCAATGCTACTTTATCATACCATAGACTATCCAATAAACATAAGACCTTTTGTTGCATCCATATCATCTCACACTGAACCAAAAACATACCTAGAAGCATTTTCCTCACCTAAATGGCGTGAGGCAATGAATGATGAGATCGCTGCTCTTGAAATGAATAAAACCTGGACTATCACAGACCTTCCACCCGGTAAGAAGGCAATTGGATGTAAACGGGTATATAAGGTGAAGTACAAGGCTGATGGAAGTATGGAGAGATATAAAGCTAGGCTCGTGGCAAAGGGATTTACATAGCAACAGGGATTGGATTATCATGAGACTTTTTTCCCTGTGGCCAAAATGGTGACTGTTCGAGCTCTACTTGTAATAGCGGCTGTAAAAGGATGGCACTTGCATCAATTTGATGTGAACAACGCCTTCCTTCATGGCGAGCTAAATGAGGAAGTATATATGGAGGTACCGCTTGGACACCCTAATGCAGAAAAATCAAAGGTGTGTAAATTAATCAAAAGTTTGTATGGACTTAAGCAGGCAAGTAGACAATGGTATTCTAAACTTTCAGCTTTCATTATTGAACATGGTTTCACTCAATCAAAGGCTGATTATAGCCTCTTTACAAGGTCTGATGGAGATTCTTTTATTGGGATTCTTGTTTATGTGGATGATATAATTGTGGCAAGTGACAAAATGAGCGACATCAATTCTCTTAAGAGCTTACTTGACAGGAAGTTCAAAATCAAGGACTTGGGAACACTAAAATACTTCTTGGGAATAGAAGTTGCAAGATCTGATAAGGGAATTTATATATGTCAAAGGAAGTATGCCTTGGATATATTATCCGATTCAGGAAAGATAGGGTCCACACCAACCAAAATTCCCCTGGATCAGAATGTGAAAATCTCCAAAACTGATGGAGAAATTCTTCATGATCCAACATTTTATAGGAGACTTATTGGCAGATTAATATATCTAACTATTACCAAGCCTGATCTTTCTTTTTCAGTCCAGATGTTAAGCCAATTTATGAGTGATCCTCGAGTTGATCATTTAAATGCAGCTTATAAGGTTTTAAGATATATCAAGAAAGCTCCAGGACAAGGACTATTATTTCCTACCAAATAAGTGTTACAACTCAATGCCTTCAGTGATTCGGATTGGGGAGCATGCCCAGATACTCGAAGAAGTGTAACAGGTTATTGTGTTTTCATCGGATCTTCTCTGGTAACCTGGAAATCCAAAAAGCAGGATACAATATCCAGATCTTCAGCAGAGGCGGAATACAGGGCAATGGCTAACGTATGTTGTGAATTAACTTGGATCAGATATCTTCTCCGAGACTTAAAGATTGATCATCCACAAGCTGCCAATTTATTTTGTGATAATAAACCAGCTTTGTATATTGCGGCAAATCCAGTATTTCATGAAAGAACGAAACACATAGAGCTGGATTGTCATCTTATACGTGACAAGATTCAAGAGGGAAGCATAGTCACTAAGCATCTCAACAACAATCTCCAAGTTGCAGACATCTTGACCAAGCCTTTAGCCTCATTTCAATTCTATCAACATATGGACAAGATGGGAGTTGTCGACATCCACTCTCCATCTTGCGGGGGGATATTGAAACATCAAGCTCAGCTGATGAAGAATCAGTTACAAATGAAGAAGCATTATCGTGCACCATCAACTGATCATCAGGAAGGGGACCACCAGTGGAAAGGCATCAGCGTGAATGATGATAGAGGATAACAAAATTCTGTTATGGGGCAAATTGGAACACTTCTATCTGTTAGAATATTCACGGTTGTTTTGCTGTGATTTAATCATTTTTTGTATAGAGTATTAACATAGATTTTCTTCTTCTAGATCCTTCTCATTGTATTATAAATACCACATTGTTGTACAGTTTTTACAATTTTTAATAAAATGAATCAATCTGTTTCCTCCTAATACACAGCTTCAATATTTTTAGTTAAGTATTTCTTTTACTTCAAGCTCTTCATCCTCATTCTCCAGTTTCATGTTACTTGAAGGCATTGCATCTAATATACCTACAACTTGAGCCTTGAGGTTCAAAACCCATATCAATCATACGATCAGACTCATCCAGAATCTCATAGTGACACTGATTAAGAACCAGGTACCGCCTCTCCAAGAAATCAAGAAGATGTCCAGGTATAGCAATCAAAACGTCACACCCACGCCCAATTCTAATGCATTGCTCTTCAATGGATTGCCCACCAACAATAGAAACAACGTCAATGCCCAGATATTTTGCAAACTTTGCGGTCTCGTTCTCAATTTGCTTAGCGAGCTTTCCACTGCCTTCAACAACTGAGGACTCAACTTGCTCTCAATCCAACTCCTCATAGGACGAAGAATTTTATAACCCTTGTAAGAATACTGAAATCTTCCCTGAAAATTCTCCAGTCTCTCTCCGTCATCTCTTCGAGTTTCTTCTCCAAAGAATGGCGAAAAAACTAATATCAAAAGTATCATACAAATCAGTAGCCTTTTTCCTTTTCTTCTGAGCAGCAGCTTCCTCGCGTGTCTCTTCGACGCCCTCTTTCTTCCTGATCTCCTCACGAATCTTCTTCTCAGTCTTTGCCAAGAGCTTTTTCTGCTCCTTCCAATCTATTCCAGCCTGGAGTCCACGACCAAATAGTAACCGAGCTTCACGAGGATTCTGATATAGCGAATTCATATCCTGAGAAGTATCATCAAGATTCTCCAATCGAACGAAAAACGAAACTTGTCGCTAGCCTTACCACCCATTTCTTAGGTTTCTTAGACCCCAAATACTATTCCTTAATAGCATCCGATTCCAATTCACACTCTAATTTGGCAAATTTCTCCAATCGAGCATGCTCACGTGCCTTGTGCTCTTTCTCTCTATTCCTTCGCTCCACATCCCGATCCCTTACCCTTTGTCACTTAGCTTTGATGAGAAAGATGGGCTTCTTTGTACCATCAATCTTCTCTACGACTTCATCTCTAACCCTCTTCATATTTCTCGAAAGAGTTGTTTGTTGTTTCTAGCCATTTATAACAATCTTTAAAATTGAGTTACCTTTCGAACTCACGTGTGATGCAAGTGACTTTACAGTTGGAGAATAAATAAGATACTTTACTTGATCTACTATGTCAGTCGAACCCTCAACGATGCTCAAATCAACTATGCCACTACTGAAAAAGAGCGGCTGGCAGTGGTGTTTGCATTTGACAAATTTCGATCATATCTTATTGGTTCGAAAGTCATAGTTTACACTGATCATGCAGCCTTTAGACATCTACTTACCTAAGAAAGACGCTAAGCCTAGACTTATCAGATGGGTATTACTTCTACAGGAGTTTGACTTGGAAATTCAGGATAAGAAGGGAACAAAAAAATGTAGTGATAGATCACCTATCTAGATTGGAGAAAATTACACTAGCAGGTGATGATCAAATCGAAGAATACTTTTCAGATGAACAGTTGCTCTCTCTACTCAAGGTCCCATGGTACGCAGATATAGTCAACTACCTACCTAACAACATTTTACCTCCTGACACGACCCACCAACAGAGGAATAAATTCTTTTCAGATTTGAAATATTACATTTGGGAAGATCCATATCTATACAGGCGTGGTCCTGATCAAATCATTAGAAGAA